CTGAGCTAAACTTGATTGAGATTTTCCTTTTATTTAATGCATTGGAACTCCTTGTGGGGATTTCCTTAGCTAACGAAGTCTAGGCAGCTGCCATGTGTACATTTTACTGTGAAAAGAAATGGTACTATTTACATGTTTCCCCATGCTTAGCTGGGGAGTCAATATATTTCATATTTAGAGTCAATATGAAATATGGGGACAAGATTCTATAAAGTTAAAAAAGTTTAATGGGCCCACTATGGGTTCAGATAGCCCATAGCTCAGAAAATTGAAGAAAAGAATAAATCAATAGAGCAAGAAAAGAAAAGAATGATTGGCAGATTTTCTTGATAGGCTGGACAGGAACAAACAGCTGACAAAAACATGGGAAAAGCAGAGTTTCTTCTTAGGAATATGTTTTCTGTTCCTTGTGGTCTTCCAGGAAAGAAAAGTGTCTATGGAATAAAGTATTCCAAAATACAGTATATGTAGATAGTCTTGCATTTTTTATCTTTTCAGAAAGAAAGGCTGTATAGTGAAGCCTTAATAATAATTATTAGTAAGAAACATATAGAATCTCTCTATACATGCCACCTTTCTGGCATTACTTTCTCAGGACATCATAATTAAGAGAAGATGTGTTGCCTTGTTTTGCAGGTTATATGGTGCTGTGTATAAGCAGTACAGCTTTAACTTTTTAAGACCGTTAAATGCATAGCTGATTAGTGAGGCAAACTGGCAGTCATCATGGTTGATTTTCCAGGCCTGAAAATAACCTGGTGGATGAAAAGCAGCGGTTCATTTTACAATAGATATAAACTATTTAATTTTACTTTTGCTTTTTTGTAAGATTTTTCTTGTATGATTGATGGTTGTATCTTAACCATTCTGCTGTGCTTAGAACATATTGAGATAATAATTTAAACAGTTATAAACATACATGTTGCAACCTCATAATGTTAATTGCAATATAACTACTATAAGAGTCACATTATCAGTTGATTCTTTAAAGCAGTCATATTTTTTTTTCATGGAAATTTGAAAAAAGGAGCTGTTTTAAAGAACAGAAGTACTGTGCTCACACTTGTGCCAGTGCAAATCTCTTCTTTCTCATCCTTTTTGTAGCATCTTCCATAGCATCTTGTTTTCTTACTCTCCTGTGCCATTGCACATCACAAATAAAAAAAGCATCCTTAAAATTTCAAGTAAATGACAATAAAAATATTCCAGTACTTAAAAAAATAACAGTGAAGAGATTCTCTGTGCATTTAAAACAAAATTATGTATTTTCATATTCTGATAAAGGTTTCGGTGCACTTAAAAATTTCATCTGCTCCTTGCAACTGATGATAGTTAATCTAAAATTATTATTGACATTATTAATAGTAATGTTTCTTTGATGATGATTAACATATTGAAATAACTTAGCAGTAAGAGTTTAGAAATGATGAAAGACTAAATGTTTTAGTTTAATTGGAAATGATTAAATCTGAAATAAACAGGTTCATCCTTGATAATAAATTAACACTTCAATTGGAATAAAGCAAGAATTGTTCAATTAAGAAATTCTGAATAAGGAAATACATTATGATTTTGCACTCAGTAGATAAACATAAATAATCATGTCTGGTTTTTTTTAAAAAACTCCTAATATAAGAGTTTAAAATTGTAGTGTAAAAAGAAATGAGCATAGCAATAAGTGAATCCTAATTGCATTTAAAGCTTTTTTACTGGAAATACAAAACTGTAGCCAGATCCATGATTTTGTGGCCAAAATATATGAATACTTTACTAAACTTAGCATATTCATATTATTTAAATCTTCACCATCTGCTTTCTAGTTTATAGAAAGTGACAATACAACTCTCTCTTTAGGGCATGGAAAGGGTACTTTCACATTTGCAAGATTCTGTTAATATAACCTTACAATATAGATAGAGATTTTATCTTTACTCCTGGCTGTGCTTCTTGTCTGGACTAATTTGCAAGACTAAATCTGCCTTGCCAGTCTCATAGTAACCCTCCCATCCCTCCATTTACTCTTTTGAAAACTAGGGAGAGTCCTTTCTGAGTCGCTTTCATTGCCCCTCCTCTTTCAGACTCAAATTCTGTTCATCAGGATGTTGTCTGGGGCTGCAGCTCTTCCTCTGTCTCCCAAGGTCATTCCCACATTCCATTCTCCTAACAACTAAATAATAATAGGGCTTGCCAAGGTGAGTGTGCTGCCCAGAGATGTTATCATGGTTCATGTCATAATTCAAATGGAACAGCAGGGATGTGGCAGTTCCTGCACTGTATCCTTTTCTAAACTTTAATTACAGTATGCATGTTTTAAAATTTCAGGTGCTTTTTTAGCATTTTCTGTCTTAATTGTAACTTTTCTACACTGACATAATTTGTGGTGCCTGGCTTTATCTTATACTTTTTTAAAATTATAGGCAGTTCCACCTCCAGGTTCTTATGAGGTTCATAAATCGTTTGAGAAATCACAGGGTAAGAGTGAATATATGCCTCCAAGAACTGCGGTGGCTAGAAGAAGGCATGCAGCTTTTCTCAGTGGAACGCTTAGGGAAAATGCATTAAAGAACGAGGACGATATACCAGGTAAGTACATTATATAATTTTCAAACAGAATTACAGCTACATACATTTTAATGATTATGTTTCATCTAAATACTCATCTGCCTGCTTACCATCTATTTTTAACAGCTTCGTAAGATGTAATACTGGCGATCTTAACTTCTTAGCTGGTTAAAAGAAATGTTAGGAAAGTTTAATTCCCCTCAGCAGATGGTAGCACTTGGCTAAGCTTGCTGTACCTGGAAGATAAAAAGGAACAAATACTGGTTAGACCTTGATAACGTTAGGCCCGGATGACAGAGCAGTCGGTCAATTTTTGTCACAACTCGTGGATCTGGAGTTGGAAGGGACCTTGGAGGTCTTCTAGTACAACCCCCTGTTCAGGCAGGAAATCCTATACCATTAATTTATATACCTATCAAGAGTTGAATTAATGTCCATGGGGCTTATATCACTATCACCACCACTAAGAATACTAAGAAACTGGAATCTAGTGATAGTTTTTGTCATATATGACGAGAAGTTTCTAAATATGAAGAGACATCAGATGCAGAAATGAGAATTATAAGCAAGATTTCTTTGTATATTATCCCATGTTTTTACATATGGAAAATGATCTGTTTGTTCAGCTTGTCCCCAATAATGGCCATGCAAATTGGAAATTATAGGAGTTAAAATGCAACATATACAATTTATGTCTTATGCTGAGCATTTATTTACAAAACCAACAGCCTTATCATACCCATTGAAGCACTGCTGCATCTTCTGCTATGCTATTGTAGAAAAGCCTTTTTGAAGGTTAACCTTGCAACCTGCGCTAGGGAAAAAATATGCCAGATTGTTTAAGCAAATCACTGTAGAGAGCATAATCTTTTACCCCAAGACATACAGTAGATCTACCACTTTGAATTGTTACATTAAAATGCATCAGTGGCAATCACTGTTCTGAGATTGAGGTGATAGGATTCATTTTAGAAACAAATAAAGGCCATTGGTGCAGTGGAAAGATCTTCTGTTTCCCAAAGGATTTCTGGATCTGAGTAGGCATTTTGTTAAAATGAGACTCTTGTATATTAAATAAAATTAAAATACAGCAATGGATCAGCAAATGTTCATTTTATTTCAGTAAAATTATTGCCAATATAAAATATAAAGCTACTTCATGATTTTAAGCACTATCTTAAAATATTAAATATTATTAAATATAACATGAGTATATAAGTATATTTATTTAAATTTTGCTACTTTGAAAGTATAGACATATATCTGTCTCTATGTGTTTATGTGTGAAAGGAATGCAGTTTAGTCTCATCTATAATTATTTCTGTTACATTGTATTTGGTAGATGGTATGAGCTTTGCTTAGTGCAATTTTTAAGTGATTGATGTTTAACACTTAATTAGTAATAACATGAAACAATGTACTCTACAGCTATTCATTCATTATGTTGGTTCTAAAAGCTACTGTTTGAATCATGTTTCTTGGCACGTTCACGCAGGAAATTACTTGAAGTAACAAATAAAATTTATTTTCAAAATTGATTGGACAGACCACATAAAAGTAGTTGTGTCTACTTTTTCTATGACTTTGTCCAGTTCCTTTTAATATAACAGGTACTGTACTGTGAAAACTAATTATATCTTCTACTTAGTTTTTGGCTTGTAACATTGTATTCCAAAATAGCTGAAAGTATTTAAAGCTTTTAAACTATACTCTTAGGCTGTATAAGTAAAATCAGAAAGTCGAAATAGTAACCTTTTGAATAGGGGTTCTGGGTTTTTACCATGATCTATTCATTGACTCAAATGCCCTTTTGAAAGGCAGTGCAAAGGGTACCTGAGGTACCTACATTGTATTTTCTACATGTGGGCTTGGAGATAAAATTGTAGCAAACTTCTGTATTATTGATTGATGTTTTCAAGCCACCAATCTCACCTAAGTAACAATCCAATAAAAACAATATATAATAAAATATGAAACATTGATAAAACAAAAATAACCATTGTCAGTAGCCAAAATCCATCCTTGTGTCAAGTTTACAACACCATTGTAAAAATTCTTCACCATCACTGGATCACCAAACACAGTGACAGAGCCATTTCTTTAGGACCTTCTGAAAGCCTGGCATGGTCAGGGCCAATCTAAGTTCTGGGGGGATGCTATTCCAAAGGATGGGTGACAGGGTAGAAAATGCTCTTCATGAGTCTCACCAGATGACACTTTTTTCACAAATGAGACCCATAATATACCTCTTCTGCTGGTCTAGGGGGGTTGAGTAGATATAACCACGATGAAGCAGACCCCCCCTAATTAACCAGGTCCCGTGTCTTATAGGGCTTTATAAGCCAAAACCAGAACCTTGAATTGAACCTAAAAGTATACTGGCAACCAATGCAGCTTGTGTAGTTCAAGTGTAATGTGTTCTAATGAAAGAGTGCATATAACAACACATAACCATCACATTTCGTGCCCACATGTGCTTCATATTGCTGCTCTTCATAAGGAGACTGCAGGACAGTTGTCTTGTGTGGGTTTCAGCTCTGAGATGAAGGGATCAGTCATCAAGCCTACAACCACAGTGGAGCCTCAGTTTCTAACCACTTTTGGAAATTGCTTATTTAACCATCTTAAAAGCTATTAGAGATATTTGGAACAAGTTTAAAAAGCCACCTAGTAAGCCCATTTTTATTTCTGAGCAAAAGAAAATTAACTATAAGTTTAAAAACTTGAAATAAATGGCAAAAACCTAAGTAAGATTTTGAAGTAAGAAATGCAAGAGTCCAGAAAAATTTGGAATATTGAAACTTTTACAATAAGAGTTTGGAACTTACTATTTGGAACTTATTATTTAAAATAAACAACATTTTGTGGGAAACAATGTTTTGTCCACTGTAAGTCAAAACAGAGATTAAAGACACAAAGAAACCTTTGTGATTGGAAAAAGAATTGAAAAGAGATCAAATGCTCTGACAATATTTGAATGAATTAAAGATTTTCAGAAGTAAAGGAAAGGAATATAAAGTTGGTTTATTTGATCAAGCTTAAAATAAAACATGTTTTTAATAAAGGATTTATAAACCCTTTATGGATTTTTTGCTGATACCAGGATTGAAAACTTGATATTTTACAGGTTTGCTTATACATAAGGGATGTGTATTGGAAGAGGAGATATCTATTTATAACCCTATAGGGGTGAAGTGCTACCAAACTTGTTTATACTTATGAGGAAGATTGGAAATCAGTTCTTTATATATTTCTTTTTTTTATTTCACTTTTTTCTTTTCTTTCTTCTTTACTGTTTTCTCTTTTTTACTTTCCTTTCTTTTTTTACTTTACTTTGTATTATTTTATTACTGTAATTAAAATGTTCATTTAAAAATTGGAAGTGTGACAGCAACATCAGGAAGAAGGTGTATGAGAAGCAGAAGACATACCAGGATCTGAAGGAGGACCTGGAGAGGAGGTGGAAAGTAAAGACCAAAGTGGTCCCAGTAGGAGCACTTAGGGCTGTGACTCATAAGCTGGGACAATGAGTCAAGAACAACATTAGAGATTTCTACCCAAAAGAGTGCAATGGTAGGAACAGCTAAGCTACTATGGAGAGCTCTTAAATTCCCAAGCCTCTTGTAGAGCAGGGGTCCCCAACCTCTGGTCTGTGGACCAGTACAGGCCGTGGCTTGCCAACAACCAGTCTACACAAACAAGGAAAGCCCCATCCACAGGATGCAGGCAGCACACAAAACCACACCCCCTCCGGTCCGTGGAAAAAACTCTCTCCACGTAACGGACCCTGGACTCTGTTGTAAAGTATTGAGGAAGATATACCGTACTCCTGTAATGCCCTGAAGACAGGCTTTTTTTAAAAAAAAAGTAAGATGGACATTTTGTTTGTTTATTTGTTCTTTAGGGTTTTTTTTAATGTCTCTTACTTGTGCAGCAGTTTCTTCTGCTGTATTCCCTTATATTCATATGCATATCAAAGTAGTAATTATTAGATGTAATATAATATGGAGAATTGCTGATGGGGAATGGAGTTGTGAGAATTAATTTCCTCCATTTGAATTGAGCAGCATTATATCATAACTAATATGATTACAAAAAAGATGTTATCAATAACTTCATTGTGCTACTGAGAAATCATAGCTTTTACAATAATTCTCAAACCACTACCTGGGTTTGGACTACGCTTGTAATAAGTAGTCAGTATTTTAATGTTTTGTGTCACGAAATTATGATATTGGTGGATTTCCTCCTTGTCTAAAACCTGGACCTTAGCATCCTGTCTCTTCTACTACCATAGATCGTGCTTCTCTAGTTTCCGATCCTGCAAAATCTGACCCCATAAATATGCCATTTCCTTGTTAAGGATTAGAGAATAGAAAGATTTAGGATGACAGACTAAAAGTCTGGATTATTTTCTCCTGGGAGAAGGGCAGTTATATATAAGCTGACCTCTCTTCTCCTAAAGCAAATTTTGACCGCACTGTGGGGTTCGTGCATGAAGGGGAATCACTACTATTGTTCACTAAAATGAACTATAATCTTTTAAACAGAGTTTTTGTTTGTTTTGGTTATGTTTCAGATAATAATCCCATGGTTATTTGTAATAAGTATGCCTTTCTCTTTTTCAATGCATTTTGTTTGGAAATGAAATGTTATCTAAAGGGACCTCTACAGTGGATCTCATTGCTTCCCTTGACTACTGTATCATAACTCTTAAAATCATAAGCGGAGGCTTGAAGATCTCCAGATACTTGTTAGTTGGAGTAGCAGGATCTGAAGGCTCCCAAGGTATTCAAATTGGTCTGTGTAGAAACAACTGCAAGAGAAAGCAATTATGGCTTGTTCCTAGTGAACATTTGAAAATGTTGGCACAGTGTTTTATGCAGGTTTTTTTTTTAACCTTTCTTTTAGCATGGAAAAATCTGGTAGAGTTGTTTTTAAAATTTGTGCTGAAATCTTTTGAGACAGCAATAGACCGCTTAATATTTTGGACTGAAGTAGTATTAATGAAGAGCTCCTGT